ATGTTACATATTCTGTTACATGATGAAATGCAACAGTTATACATGTTGAAGAGGGATTTTGTTATAATTAGCAAATGTATAAATGTGTTGGTTACTCCATTCTGTTTGATTTCCTAAAACTGTTAATCACTGTTAAAGAGCATTTAATGGATCCATATAATAGGTAACTTGTTTTAACACATCTGGTTGTCCAGAGTGTGTAATTGCTTACATCAGTTAAATATGAAGGCACACTGCCAATGCAGGTTCTGATATGTGCACTTTCTGCATCATGTGTTAAAGATGGTCCTTCCTTAATGTCTCAGTTGAACACAGTCAGTGCTGAAGAAAATGCCCAAAGAGGATATGGAATATGGAAGTACATTGCTGCTGTTCCTTAACACAGTTCTTAATCAAAAGATGTGTTACAGCTCTTCTTTACCTGACTCATCCAACAGGACGTATCTTTTTTCAGAGCTCCTTGGGTGGAATAAAAAATTATACGGAAGATACAAGTCATTGATGACGTTTCTGTTAATGATACATTCTTCTTAAGTTTTAGAAGTTCAATGACCTGGATGTAAGATGTCCTGTACAGAAATCCAGTGTGAGGACTGGCCTGTTATTCCCAGTGAAGGGTGACTGCAGCTTTCTAGGATTTGGTCATTTTTGATTCTCCACAATCACAAAAGTTTCAAGTCATTTCACTGGGAGATGTCTTGCTACTGTGTCTGGTAACCACAGCAGGAGAGGAGCCGTGAGCAGATAGTTCTGTCTCCCGCAGTTAATAGCTGGTTGTGCCACTGATGATGTAACACTTGCACAAGGAATGCCAAAGAACAGCAGTTGTTGTATTTCCTGTCTTACTTCCTCTAGTGCTGAGTCCATTTCTCTCTTTGCAGAATAGGGAGAGAAACCGATGCTCGTGTCCTTGATTTAAGGTTGAGATACAGTTCAAAGAGTTGAACCATGGTAACAGCAGGATTTTGTTCCTCCTCTCTTTCCTAGTGCCTGGGTTTGCCCAAGCCCTCAGTGGGATAATTTGGTTCTCTGAACTAGATGGAAGCTGCTTTCTTTTTTGCTTCCTTGTTGGCTTGTTTGCTTTGTGTTTTTCTGGGTTACTATTTTACTGTGTTAGTGAGTTAAATTGGCTCATAGAGGGCATTGACAGGCAGCCAGAGGGAAACTGATTACCCAGCTAGGAGTGGAGCCACCCATTCCAACAACAGAAAGTTGTTTAATTGATTTTGCCTGTGTCTTGAAACAGCAGTTTATTCAAATTCTAGCAGTGATTTAAAAAAAGAAACTGATTTCCCTCCCTAAGATGAAAAAATAGATTTTTTGATTTCGTGACTGGTGGTAGTTTGGGGCTTTATTTGTGTTTTTTGTTTTGGCTTGTTTTTCTGTTTATGTGGTTTGGTTTTTTGTTTGTTTGTTCTGTTTTGGTTTTCTTTAATAGGATGGATAAAATCTGACATTCTTCATGATTAGTACCAGATGCTCTCTGCGTTCTCATCTTGGATTGCATTTTTTAATTTTTATTTGCTCTTTTTTAATTTAATTAATTCTCTTCCAAATTAGAACAGTGCTAGCATATTTTCTTGTTTTGATTATGTTTAAATGTCTTTTTTTTTCTTTGAACTTCTTAGAATAATTTGTTAGAACCAATTTCCAGCCAGATTTGGAGAGTGATAGAGTTTTGCTCAGCCCAGTTAGAAGAAGTAAGGGAAAGATATCCTCATTGTCTTCCTGTATTTGGAAGGCTAGATACAGTTAACTTATGATGTTTAGGTTTCTTAAGAGTTACATCTTTTGCTTTAACAGAGACTCACTGAGCATTGTGTTTTTCTGTGTGTTACATAGAATGCTTGAGTTAAAAAGTTTAGTGCAACTAAACAATTATGGACTTACCTGTAACCAGGCTGTGTGCTGGAGCAGGAGATACATTTAAATATTCAGTAGTTCAATGACAGTTTTAAAAAAGAAAATTAAACTTCTAAGATGTCCATTGTTTACTTTAGAAAATCATCTACATAAGGGTCTTGTCTGATGTATCCTTTAACAACTTTGTAGTACATGAACTGCTACAGAGCCAAAGTAAATCTCCTGGTTTTAAAGCAAACCCCATCAAACTTTCATTATGCATAATCATTGAGTATTGTAAATTAGGTTCTTAACTAAAGACAACAGATGTTTTGCGTGTCCTCAGGGTTTTCACTAGTCCTGTGTTTGCACCATTTATAGGCAGCTGTGCAGAGGATGCTGGATCAAGCTGAAAGCCAGGTATGCTCAGAGACTTTTTGAAAAAGAACTGAAAAGTAATTTAATTTCCATCCGGTGTTTGTCTTCTAGCATGCTGTCCATCTGCTCTTGAGAACCTAATGGCCTGAATAAATTTAATATATAGTGGCTTGCATGAGCTGTAAACAATTATTTACTGGGTGGAACATAATTAAGCATATTTCTGGCTGGTTGGTGGCAGTGCAGCTGTGCATGCTGATGACTGTTCAGGAGATCTGAGTCAAAATGAACCTGGAAATACTGCTGTGTGCTGTTAAAAAAACACTGTGCATGACGGTTTATTTGTGAATTGTAATTCTAAATAAATCTGTCAGTCCTGGGTGGCAAGACAAATTTGTCTTTTAAAGCAGATGGCAGGCTCTAAATAAGAGGATTCAGTGGTAGAGAAGGGCACAGATTCTTAAGGAAAAGAAAAAGGTAGGGGAGGAAGAAGCTGACTGTTCAGATGTCTGGAAGAGCATGGATCACAAGCTGGCAGCGTGTAGCAAAGAAAACTGCAGTTTTCATTTGAGTCTTAGAAATTGCCTTAAAGAATAATTTGGCTTTTTATCTCTGTCATAAAATTAAACTCCTGAGGATTCTAGCTCTGTTTAAACCACTGCATGAATCTGAAAAATAAGTTTTAACCTAGTTAATCCATTGTGTGTTGATCGCCATAGTTACATTTGGTTCCAGATCATGTTTAAACAGTTCTTTAGGTAGGGATCTAACTCTATTTCGTAATATGGGTAGAAGAATGCTCTGCACTGCTACCTGTCCAGAGCTCAAGATGTATTAGCAGCCATGTCTGCAAAGGAATAGGCAGAAATGTGGTATGTTAAGAGACTGCATTATAGTATCAGTTCAGGGTTCAGTTACTGCTGAAGTAACAGTGCTGTTCTAGTGAGAGAAAATTGTGGCTGCAAGTCATGAACAGAACTGGTCACAGGGTCAAATGCTGCTTGTAAATAAACAGGTTTCAGTTGATTTAAAAGGAGAACTGTAAAGCCACTCAGCTTTACAGATTATTTGGTTAGAATGAAAATTCCCTTTTTAAAATGTGTGTCTTGGTTGTAGTCAGTCAAGGCTTGCAACTTGGTATGCCCATTTGGAATTACAGAAATCTTAATGGACCAAAATGACCGGTATGGGCACTTTTACTTCCAGTGCTAACTATGAATTTAATTTTTTTAAATTCCGGCCTTTGGCATGTTGTTTTTATTTTAGCCTTTTCTAGATGCACAGAACAGCAATAATGCTAAGCCTGCTGAGCTTTGAGCTATTGCTCAAACAAGTAAATAGTCCTAGCTTTCTCTCTCCCAGTTGTGATGGTTTTGGCTGGTTAATGTTCTTCATGGTGGCCAGTGCGTGGCTGTGGTTTGGATTTGCACTGAAAATAGGGTTGATAACATAGAGATGTTTTTGTTATTGCTGAGCAGGGCTTACAGAGAGCCAAGGCCTTTTGTGCTTTCCATGCTGCCACGCTGGCAAGGAAGTTGGCGATACATGGGAGGTTGGGAGGAGACACAGCCGGGACAGGTGACCCAAACTCACCAAAGGGATATTCCAGACCATATGACACCATGCTCAGTATATAAACCTGGGGGAAGAAAAGGGAGGAAGGGCATGGGCTTTTGGAGTGATGGTGTTTGTCTTCCCAAGTCACTGTTACACGTGATGGTGCCCTGCGCTCCTAGAGATGGCTGAACACCTGCCTGCCTTTGGGAAGCAGTGAATTAATTCCTTGTTTTGCTTTGCTTGGGTACCTGGCTTTTGCTTTCCCTATTAAACTGTCTTTATCTCAACCCATGGGTTTTCCAGCTTTTACCTTTCTTACTTTCTCCCTGATCTCGCTGGTGGGGCAGTGAATGAGTGGCTGTGTGGGGCTTGGTGTCTGGCTGGGGCTAAAGCATGGCACAGGTGTAAAAAGCTGCCCAAGGCACTGGGCAGCTTTGAAAACAAGGCTTTAAATAGATTCAGCTTGCCTTGTAGCAGCCCAGTGCTCACAATTGCACGTGAATTCAGTTGTCAGTTTTATTTTTGACATTCCCTTTCTTTATTCATTTCTAACTTCTGTGTATTTTAATGTTTTATCCACAGCTGGAGAATGGTGTGAGTTGGCATAACCCAGAGCCCCCAGAGAATCTGGGAACAGAGAAGGATAGAGCAAATTGCCCCTTCTATATTAAAACAGGTTCCTGCCGATTTGGAGACAGGTAATCAATTGAATATTTACCAGCATAGAAGTGTTTTGGGGAGATGAAAGGGAGGCAATTTCATTAGGTCATAAGCAAACTGAAAAAAAATTGCTCTATAAAATACTTCCATATATTTGGACGTGGATTGAGAGCAGAAGCATTGCCTGGCTGGAATTGAGCTATTTTTTATGGCATATTATTGATGGTGCATTCTGGTTACATTGGTCAGACTTAGTTTTCCTTAGCTCCGACACATGCACAGATATATTCAGACAGAGTGTATTTGGTTTGTTATTAGTACAGGCCTGAAATGTCAGATTTCGTTTTTTTTATGTTGTCTACTTTGCATACGTTGCATTGTCTAAAAGATAAAATCAAATCTCAAATGGACTAAAGCAAGTTAAGGTAAATCTGCACTGTTGTGAAAGCTTCCAGAATTCTCACTATTTAAGTGTGTGATACATTAGTTCTTGAGTCTTGTACACTGATAGGGGAGGGAAGTATAGTAAAAGGCAAGACCAGAGAAGGACAACAAGATGATGAGAGATGAGAAACAGCTCTGTAGGAGAAGTCACTGAGTCTAGACTCTTTTGAAAGAAGGGATGGAAGAGGGCTGTGGTAGATGAACAGGAAATTCATGGTAGGATGGAAAGGATTATTTGCAGTTTCATCAGGTGTTTCTGAGTGTTTACCAGCTTCAAAAAAGAAAGGACTTCTCATACGAAACAAATGGCAAAACCTGTTGCCTGAGGACATAGAGAAAGCCAAAAGTGTAAACAGATTCATGGAGTACGAGTTCATGTTCATCAGAGACCAGGAACAATGATGACCCAAATGCAGCATCTGACTAGAAAATACCTGATTTTTTTTGTTGTTGTGTTTAGGAGGAATAACATCTTAGCAGGGAAGACACTGATATTTATTACATGAATCTTCAGCATAAACTAATAAGGCTATTTTACTAACTTGTATCACTGAAATGTGTGTGGTCCAGCTATCATAGTTTTCTTTATCCTAGGAGTAATTTGTTTCAGTGTGATGTATATTGTGGATAATTATGTGATAATTCAACTGTATGGAAGCTTCAAGTCCACATCTTTTTTTTCTATTTTGAAATATGTGTTTAATTCCATAATAAAGATTTGGCCAGCTATTTCACTGCAGACACCATTTTTGCTTTTCAAATGTCTAGGTCTTTGCAGTATTTTTGTTTCAGTGGTTTTTAATAGAGGTAACCTCCTTGGATTACTTATGGATTGCATGGAATTCAGCTTTGCTTTGAACTGTGAATAATGCTTGGAAAACAAATACTGAGAAACATCATATTCTGCCCTTCTTCTTTCATCCATAGTTGTTGATCTCAGATACCTCTCCATCTTCCTTCTTTCTCCTCCCATACCTGCTTCCTTCATATTCTGGTCATTTTAACCGCTGGTGCTGTCTGTAAGTTGAAGGACAGGTACAGCCAGGGTAAGGACTGGAAGGATGGGTTGGAAGCAGTTGGGAAAAACTAAGAGCCAGTGTTACCAATAAATAATTGCTGAATCTTGTCAAAGCTCACTGTATCTTGAAGAAGCTAAAACTGGCTGAGTTCACTATTAACCATTTCCTCTAATTCAAACCCTGATATTTTGCAGTAATACTGGATTTTTGGGTCATTAATTTCCTTTTGTTCTGTCACGTGCTGTAGTCATTTTGTGTACAGGCAGTATTGGTTGGATTTAATATTTTGAGTTCTATTATTCCAATTGAACAGGAAAAGGAGGCAGCTTCTCAAATGTAAAAAAATAATAATCATAAAATTAATTGTCTCCTTGTTTAGTTTTGAGGTTGGAGATAGGGCGCTTTTTTTTTTTAAAGTGTCAACCAGAAGGTGACTGACTGACTGGGTGCAGAAAGACACTTCGTAGCTGAAGTCTAGGTTGGAATTGCCCATTCTGAGACCTGACCTCCCTGCAGTTTGTCTGTGCTGTGCCAGTGCCAGACGAAGAGGGCAGACTAGTCTGGATATTTTTCTGAGCATATCTTGAAAAGGAGAAATGTGTTGGAGAGTGCATGACCCAGTTGCTTGGGGAAGTATGAAATGGAGATCATAGAGCACAGTGAAATAAACATGGAGGCAAACATCTGTGTTCTTAGTGGATCTAAAGGTGTCTGGGGGAGAACTGTATTTCAGGATGTGAGGGAGGCAGCTTGAATATGATGGATGGTGAGGGAGACCTAATAGTTTTATGGCTGCCAAGAGGATGCAGACTAAGATAAGACTGACTTTAAAGAGTTTTTTTATTTTATGTTTTTTTTAGAAGTGGAAAAATAGCAGTCTTGTACTTACCCAACCACAGGTCTAAACATGCTGTCCTTCCCTCACTCCCTCTCTCCACCCCTATATGATGAGAACAATTTCAGTAAAAGTTGTTTAGTTTGTGGAAAGAAGAGCAGGGATTTGCTTTAAGATGAATTTGTAGAAAGAATACTGGCAATCTTTTAAGCCATTCAGAAACTGGGAACACATTTAACCCTAGTAGCCTAAAAGAAATTACTTTAGCTCTCATTGTGACACTGATATCTATAGCTTTTGTAGATACACTTTCTTAAGCAACGATGTATTTGTACATGGCAGGAAGCATCAAGATTATGTGCAAACTCACTCCAAAAGATTTGTTTTACTAATTGAAATACGCTGATCTCCCACTAATGGATTTTCTTTTATAATAACTGTAACTGAAAATGGCAAGTGTTTGAAGCTTCAACAAATGCATTTTCTGCGGTACGTGCCAATCTTTCCACTTTTCTTTCTTCTCTGCTACTCTCCAGGTGTTCTCGCAAGCATAACTACCCAACATCCAGCAAGACACTCCTCGTCCGAGGGATGTTCATCACCTTTGGCATGGAGCAGTGCCGGAGGGATGACTATGACACAGATGCAAGTCTTGAGTACAGTGATGAGGAGACCTACCAGCAGTTCCTGGAGTTCTATGAGGACGTGCTCCCTGAATTTCAGAATGTGGGGAAGGTTGTTCAGTTCAAGGTATGCATCTAAGTGTGGTTTACAAGCCTTAAGAAAAATTCTGTCTGGCATGCCCTAGCTAAATCCTGTGTGCGTTAGGAAACTACAGTGTCCTTCCAGCAAGCTGTACATCTCTCATGTAACCTGTAAACTTGCCATTGCTGTTACAGAGCACTGTCTTCCTCTGGGTGAATCTTCTCTCCCATTCCCCTGAACTGTTAATAAAAGCTTGTGCTTTTATATTGCAAGTTCTTCACACTGCTCAACAGCCCACTTACCTCACAGTCCTTTCTTTATCCTGTGCTAAGCCCCAGAGGGTCCATTCAGATGGTTAGACAGTATAAATACATCTGAGCTACTGTATTTGTGCCTAAGGAATGAAATAGTGGGGGTATGAAATGTATTTGGAGTGTACACCCAAACAATGTCATTTTAGGACTGGCTGGATAAAATAAAATCAGATTACAAAGAACTGAAAAGCTAGTAGGTATTCCAGTAGGAAGAATTATAAAAAGGTAAGTTATGCAAATGGTGTTTAGATTTGTCATCCATCCTTAGTTTGTGCATTTGGTTTGCTGAATGTTTTGTACTGAATTTTTCCCACTTATATTGTGATTTCTTATGGGGAAAAACAGGGATCTGTAAATGGAGACCACTGAGATCAACGATGTGTGTTAACAGTCCCATGTTGCCCCAAATTATGCAGCTTGGATGGTGAAATCTCCTCGTATCAGAATCTATTGCAGCATCCCTTTCTGCTTGCCATTCCTGAGAGTTTTCTTGCAGTCACCAGGAGGCACATGGTGCCTTTTCTCCTTTTGTTTCCATCTACTGACAGCTGCCTCGGGACTGACGTGTTATTAGCATTTCAAGCAAGAGGAAAGTAGAGTGAATTTTGAATAGTTGTGTAATGAGCTTTATAAGTAAGAAACCTTCACTTGTTTGGAGGAGTATCCCCTCCATATTTTGACTCATGGGCTATCAGCAAGCTGTAGTCTGTGCTAGAAGATGGGATGTAGATTCCCTATGGAGGTGGGTTAAAATGTCTTACCAGCAAAGTCAGGTCCTTGACTTTGTATCGTTCTGGGTGGCTGTGCTAAGATGCACCTACTTGGGTCCCTACGACTGTTTGTGTGGCATTCCATGGCTTCCAAGGCAATTGTGCAATCACAAGGTGATTCTTATGGACATTTTCATTACATTAGATATGCTTCAGAATGACATGTTGGCTGCAGGGATCTTAACTGTGAGTGAGCTGAGTCTCTGCAACTGTTTAGAATCAGCTTATACACACCCCTCTTTCAGCTGATTTCTTTTTCTAGTGTAGCCCGAGATTTTATTCTTCTTGTTCTTTCTGGGAAGCTGCTCCAGAGTCTGGGAGATCCTAATAAAACACTCTTCCTACCCAAAAATGTCTATGCCAAAATCGTTCTCTCTTGTTCTTGTGTTGACATTGTTTATCTCAAATAGTTTGACTCCTTCCTGTAATATTTAATTATACAACTGCTTGTTGTTGTGACTGAAGCCCTTTCCTGATCCAGTGCACAAAGAAATATTTCCTGAGGATCAGTCAGGGTTCAGGGATGAAAGGAGCTGCTAGCCTCATTTGTGCAGATATTGGAAGAGGCCGGGGGCAACAGAGGTTGGGATCACAGTTCTGCCCTGGTGAACTGTGTTCCACCTGCCTGGGCCTGCCCATCAGAATCTTTTGTAATTAGCAGCAAGCTTTCTGGAAGGTAATTTGTGTATTTTTTGAGAGCTTTAGTTATACTCTGAATGCTAAATCATTACAAAAAAAAAGGTTTTTAGAACCTGTACAGTGAAAGCTGGTGACTTCAGCTTTTCTAACCCATCTCACGGGGATGCTGTGAAGGTAAATTGCTCTAAAGAGTCTCTTACTGTAATGAATCCTGCATTTCCACATGAGGATACTACTAATTGTTTTCAGAGCAGATGTGTCTGTTGCACAGAAGGGTTGGGCCAGACAAGTGCAAGACAATGGAGTATAAACTGTCTTGTGGGCTAAGTGAAGCCGATGTCCCAAAGTTAATCAAAGCATAATGCTGGAAACAGTCAAACATAAGCCAGATGGGCTTTTTTCTTTTTTTTTTTGGTTAAAACTAAGTGTTCAGAAGAAAATCATATCTAAGTTGATATGGATGAGCTCTTGTAAATGAATGGCCCATCTCAGAATGCAGGAGCTGCTGTACAGCAAAAACCTTCCACTGCACTGACTTTGTGTTTCCATCCCCTCAGGTCAGCTGCAACTATGAGCCTCACCTGCGAGGAAATGTCTACGTCCAGTACCAGTCGTAAGTACTCGCAGTCGTACTCAGTGCTAGAACTAAACTCCAGCGCTGAGTAATGAATAAGAAGTGTTTATATAATCCATGTGATTCATTCTCATACTGTAATGGGAGGCCAGAATTGGTAAGTGATGTCTGAACTGATTGTGTGATGGTAATGCTGTGTGTTGTTTTACTTTTTAAAGAGAGAAGGACTGTCAGGCAGCCCTGGCCCTGTTCAGTGGACGATGGTATGCAGGCAGACAGCTTCATTGTGAATTCTGTCCTGTGACGAGGTGGAAGACTGCTATTTGTGGTGAGTCATGTAAACACTCGGAAAAGAGAACGAGTGTTACTCAAAGAGTACTAATAGAAGTGAAAAAGAAGGATTAGTCTGCAGCTTTCGGATCTGCCTAATGTTGTAGTTCATGTCCGTTTGGAAGACACATGTGCTAACTTGCTTATGTAGATCTAGGAAAGAAAAGAAATATTATACCATGGCATGTAAGTGCCTGAATTGTTTTAGTGGATTTACCTTGGACTGGAAAAGAAAGTTTAGATTCTAGCTTTGGAAATAATAATCTTAAGATGAAACTACACGAAGTACTACTTTATCTCTCGAAAAGCAGCAGCAATTTCTGAACTATCAACAGTTCTTAGCAGTAGCTATCACATTTAACTTATCTAGATTTACACCCTTAGATTAAGATAAATGAAATTTAATTAAATGAAAAATGAAATTTGTTCTAAGGTAAAACCAAACCTTCATAGCTGTTAAAAAGTTAATTCCAAGAAAAGTACACAAGGAAAATTAATCTTGTGTGAATTAAATTGATAGGTGGTCAGAGGCATGTTTTTCTGTTTGGAGAAGCGAAATTTAGTTTATTAAGTTTCTCCTCAGTAGGTACATAATGAAGAAAGAGATTTAATAGATGATCTGGTTCATAAAAAATCAAACCCTAATCTGTTGCAGGCTTATTTGAAAGGCAGAAGTGTCCAAGAGGGAAACACTGCAACTTTCTTCACGTATTCAAAAACCCAAACAATGAGTTTTGGGAGGCCAACAGAGACATACGTATTTCTCCTGAACGGACTAATCAGTTGTCTAAAAACTCTGAAAGGAGAAACAGATCAAGCCATCGTGATGACTATTACAGCCGGTCCAGGAGAAGGGGCAGCCCGAGCCCAGATCATTCTTACCGGAGAAATGGAGAGTCCGAGAGAAAAAAGGACCGCCGCAAAAACAAGAGGCGGCGCCGATCGGGGCGGTCGAGGAGCGGGGAGAGGAGGAGGTCTCACAGCAGGGGGAGAAAGAGGAGAGGCCGCAGTCGCAGCAGAAGTCACAGTCGAACTCGCAGTCGGAGCAGAAGCCGGAGTTCCTCTCGATCCAGGAGCAGGGGTAAAAAGAGATCAAGCAGCAGAGGAAAAAATAGTGAAACTCCCAAAACAAAGTGAGAGTTACTTTTAGAAATCGGTAATTGATCAGAAATAGATCTGACAGAGGAATCTTTACAACAGGGCACCAGATATATTTTGAGTTTCAAATAAAGTGTTCTTGCACATTAAAATGTTTCTTCCTAATAAAGGAACCTAGTTTATTGTGTGCTAAGCTTCAGAAAATGAAAAGTTTTAAGTCCTATAGAAGGTGTGAACGTCAAGTACTCTAGCTACTCTGTCCCTCCGAACTGCTGCAACACCTGGATACACACTGAGTACAAATAGAGAAGTAAAGCCTCTTTGGTATATGCTTTTTTCTGTTTTGTGTGTGTTAAGTGTTTCCTGTCCCTGTAGGGAGTTAGTACAGAACAGCCAGTGTGCAGTAAATTCACACCCCTGCACGCTGCAGACCGAGGTCTGTGTAGACAACTGCCGTTTGTATTTTTCATCTGTTTATGGGAAATCTTTCTAGACAAAGTAAATATAATCGTATTATGAGTTTGAGTAAAGGGATCTCAAAGATATCACTGTTTGATTGTACAGTACTTGCCCAGTAGGAGCTTTGTGGTCATGAGTGTTGGATTTTTCTCTCTCCCCTGACTTGAGCTGCTGGACTAATTGCCTGTAGGGATTGCAGTAGACTAAAACCGAGTGGGAATTACACAGAGAAACAATCATTTTATTCAGTACCTTAATCCCCAAGTAAGAGTGGAAACCATGCAACTGTAATCCTTGAGTGAGGATAGAAAATACTTCACATACTTCTTGGCTGCACACCATTTGTAGGTGAAAACAACTTGCCTAACCTGTGCTGGAGGGGTGGAAGTGTCCCATCTGGGAACCAAAGATGCAAATGTGATTGTGAAGGCTCGATCAAGACAGTTGCACAGTGGCTGAAGAAACTGAAGGTTTTATACCTGAAAGAATACTTTGTTTTTGGTAGAGGAGGACTTGACTTTTTATGGGTTTTAGGTTTATTTTACAAACAGTTTTAGGCACCCTACTGCCTTGCTTTCCTACAGCCAAGGTGTAGAGTAGGGTACATAAAAATGAAGTTACAGGGACAAAACCTTTTTGAAATGACAGCTGTATTAGTAAAGTACCTCCAGTTAGATAAATCCTTATAAATATTTTTTCACTTTTAAATGAAAGATTTGTGCTGTTAGATGGACTGTACTTCATACAGCTTAACTTCAGGTATTTAACGTGGGCACCTCAGATGCTTGGAGAGAGGAGTTTGTGGGGCTGAAGGTGCAGGTCTGCAGAGATACCTCCCTCTCTTTAGCTTCTCCAAAGAACTTGTGCTCCTGCCCTTAGAATACAGATCAGACTCCACGAGTTAGAAGCCTGAAGTAGGCGTGAAGTGCTCCCAAATAGGAATTCATTAAGATTCCAATGATGTAACATGCACTACCATAGAAAATCTGGATTATCCAAACTTTACCAATAGCATTCCTCACAGCAAGAATGTCTTTTTTCCCCCAGGATAGTTAAGAGTGAGTGAACATTGCTTCTGGATATAATATATATATTTTTGCTTTTCTAAATGCATACTGCACCTAGCATGCTGATTATACATTTTTCCTTCTTTCTTCATGTGTAACTGTTGTCCAATATGGAGTAATACAACAAAAGTGCTATATATTGATGTTCAGTTCAAACCCAACTTTCACTATATATTGTCATAACTGTAGGCAGAGCTGTAGCTTAGTTAATTTGATTAAATGTTTTAGTTATTAACAGATGTAGGAGCTGTAATAGCATAACTTTTAAAATAATAACTTTGAAAGGCGTATTTCAAAGGATAGACAGCACTAATTTTAAATTCCATTTGAGAAATTTGTGACCACCAGTTTCTCATACCTTTTTCTGACTAGACCTTACAGACAGATTTTTCCTGAGGTTTCTGTTTTTCTGTAGATGCTCAGTTGTCTCAGTGGTCACTTGTGCAGCATGTGGCAAACTCTGGTTCAGTTCCCCGGAGCAGAACTGAACCGGCATTTCCCGCGTGCAGAGATGTCACCAGCAGGCTGGTATCTTTCTTTCCCTGGGGATGCCTTGCTTCCCACAGCTCGTGCTGCTGACCCAGCCTGCTGGCCAAGGCTCTCCAGTGGGAGAGCTGCCTTGGGACATCTGCAGATGCTGTGCATCCCGTGTCACGCGGCTGGGCTGTGGTGGAGCATTATCCCAGCAAAATCAATTATGGAGCTCAAGGAGTAGTGGAGTGAGTGGTGGGAACCTGTGACCTGTTGGGTGAAATAAGCAAACCAGGTCTCTGTGGGATTAGAAGCTAAGTACAAACTCTCACCCATGTGAGAATTCCACAGGTAATTAGGCTCCTTGTCCCTAGTTTTATAATGGCATCTGGGAACCTGAGTGGCTGTATGTTTCTTTTTAAAAAAAAGGTTCTTGTAATTAAAAAAAGAAAAAAGGCTTGCTCAGAGATGCATGTAAAATTTAA